GTTTACTCTTACAACATCATAATGATGAATATCAATCTCTATATCTTCAATATCTTCTGTATGTGTTTCAGTCAAGCAAAAAACTAATGGTTTCACCAATATTAAAAAATTTATAACTTTATCCCTGTGAGATAAAAATCCTTGAATATTTATATGGTATACTCGTACATTGTTAGAATATTTTTTGGCCTGTAATTGCTATTTGTCACCATAAGAAACTTTATTTTTTGATTTTTCATATTCGATTTGGATCATGTTGCAGGTATAGTGGAAGGATGAGTGATTTATATCGAAATTTGTGTAGTACTTCAAATTTGATTCTCTGCAATTTGGACATGTTATTTCATCTTTTGATATCGTACAGTTCTGGGCTGATGATCACTATTACCACATTTTAAACAAATACTGGTCTTGGTACAATTGTTCGCTGTGTGGTGAAATCTGCCACAGTTAAAACACCTCAGAAGATCGTAATGCTAAAAAATTGTACAAACATCCAAGGATACAAACAAACCTCCTGCTTTCATTACTGCTTCAAATTTCAATCTATCCAATTCCAAAATTGCCATATACCGAAATTTCATTTTTTTTTTATTGCTACTACTTTAATCGAAGCATCACTATTTATAACGTTGTTTCCCATTTTTAAGTCTCTAACCAATTCTTCATTGTTTAAGTCTTCACTGAAACCCACGACTTTAATCATTGATAATTTTTTTGTGGCATACATTTACTTTATAATTCTGTCCAACACTTTTTTCTATTTCCAATTTTAACTTTTTGATATCATCGATATCCTTGCGTTCAATTTTCAGTGCTCCATCTTTCAGATCATTTACTTTTTTAATAGACAAATTCATTTTTGCTGGATTTATATACTTGCTCAATTCCTTTGTTTGCGTACAACTTTGATTTGTATTATTAGGTTTAATAACAATTGTATTTTCCGGTTGTGTTGTTGTGTTTATATTTTTAGTATATTTTACCGTTTTTTTTTTTGGAGCTGGCGAAGTTATGTTGGTGTTTTCATGTGTAGAACTTTTGACCATGTCTGCATAAGATTTACTGTTATTTGTAGATGAATCTTGTAAATTCTCAATATAGTTCTTTTATCAGTTTTTCTTGTATCGAAATTGTATATTCTTTTACCTTTAAAATGTCTGTTACACAAAATCCTTTTTCTTCATGTGATACATTCACCTCATTTGCTTTTCCACCAGCTTCAGTCCCATCTTCTTCAGTCTCCATATGGTTCAACTCGATATTTTTTCAAGAAACCCACAAAACCTGACACAATCTATGTCACTAATATGTTTCAAAATCAAACATGGGTAAAACTTACAAAAAGTCGCTTCGATCACTGTTTCCAATTTACCACTGCTCACTAGTACTCTCCATTACTCTATATATCACCAGCAGTTAAAAATCTTCTCTGGAATAAGCAAATTGATCTCTTTTTAGAACTACCTAATGTGCTGTTAGTAGACAAGACAGTGACATAAATTAGTGTTATAGCTTTAATTTGTAGGACCTGTAATTTTGAGATTACAGCTCCATTGGCAGTGAAGATAGTTGAGCAATATAGAAAATAGGTTGAATAATTGTACTATACACTATTTTTTTGGAATCCGAGGGATGTCTTTTAAGTTTTTAACCTCACTCTTTAGTAATCTTAAATTAAAAGTTTCACAGCAATACGTGCAGTGTTCTCACTACAGTGAATTTTTAAGAGTCACCAAGTCATTAGAAAAATGGAACTCAACCGAGAACATTTTCGCGCCATAATTTATTACAACTTTCAGAGACAATTATCGCAACAAGAATGCCTTGCTGAGTTACTGTCTGTTTTCGGCAACGAAGCGCCACATCAGTCGACAATTTCCCGTTGGTATGGAGAATTCAAACGTGGACGGGTGAGTCTTAGCGACGATTCCAGGGTGGGTACACGAAAAACGGCAGTCACCCAGGAAAACGTCGATGCTGTGCGGCGCAAACTCATCATTGAAGATAGACATCTGACATATCGCGAGATTGAGGCGTCCTTGAAGATTTCAAAGACGTTAATTCAAAAAATTTTACATGAAGAATTAGGAGCAAGAAAATTAGTTTCTCGTTGGATACTTCACCTCTTGACTGAAGAGCAGAAAGCAGCCAGGGTTAATTGGTGTCATAAAACGCTTGACCGTTTCAATTCCGGAAACTCAAAAAATGTGTACAGCATTGTTAGTGGTGATGAATCGTGGATTTACTGTTATGAACCAGAAAATAAACGACAGTCGGCTGTTTGGGTGGTCCAAGGTGAAGAAAAGCCAACAAAAGGCATCCGTTCTCGAAGTGTTTCGAAAAAGATGGTCGCGAAATTTGTGTCAAAAGCGGGTCATATTGCAACAATTCCTCTTAAAGAGCAAAGAACTGTTACTGCGGATTGGTATACCACCATTTGTTTGCCAAAAGTCATCATCGAGCTTCGAAACATCAACCCCAAAAGAAGAATCATCCTCCACCAAGGCAATGCAAGCTCGCACACAGCCTAAAAAACAAGGCAGTATTTAACGGAAGAAAACGTGGAATTATTGGACCATCCTCCATATAGTCCCGATCTAAGTTCTAACGATTTCTTTACTTTCCCGAAAATTAAAAACGGACTGCGGGGTCAAAGGTTCCAGTCACCAGAAGAAGCAGTTGACGCATTCAAAAATGCCGTTTTGGATCTGCCAGCAAACGTGTGGAATAAGTGCTTCGAAAATTGGTTCGAGCGCATGCAGATGTGTATTAATCTTTGTGGAGAATACTTCGAAAAACAATAAAGTCATTTAAAACTACCTACTGTGTTGTTTTATTTCCATATGCAAATCTTAAAAGACATCCCTCGTATGTACTAAGACCATGAGAAGCCCTATAAAAGTATTTTGTTTTTTTCAGAAATTTTTGAAATTATTTATTCATAGTGATCCTTAAACTTTAGCTTATATATATATATACATATGTATATATCTGAATTTTACAATAATCTAAAATATCACAAATGCCATTAATGTATAAAATAAATAGTAGTGGATCCATTAAATCCATAGTGATGCAATTTTGCAAGTAATTTATCTCTGTCAATAGTTCCAGATGCCATTTCGAAGTCCAAAAACACTGTCACTGTATGTTTCCTATTGTCTATATATATATATACAGGGTGACTTTGAAGTTGAGTCATTAATTTTCAGATAATGATTGTAGAAGGAAGATAAACCAAAATATGTGTGTAAAAATAAAAAAAAAATAAAAAAAAAATGTTACCTTGTTTAATAGTATCCTCCCGACAAGTATTTCAGTGCGGACCTGTATTTGATCGTGCGGTCTTGGAGCAGCATGCCCTCACCTGTGAGGTCTTAAGTCACCTGATTCACGAGCCCTTTGCACTACATTGACAAAGGCACGAGGGGTTGGTTGCACTCGATTGGGAAACCGATTCGCATAAATCCGTGATGCATCCGGGAGCATTTTGTAAAGACTGCCCCCCCGTAAATAAGAATCATGTCCACAAGTTCAGCATTTTCGTAAACATGTGCCATTTTTGATTTCGTTTGAGCCACGCAACACACTACTATTCACTCAGGATTTATCGACTGACGAAAAACATCGTGATAAACGTTTCAAATTCTTTCGCTTTTTTGTTTCCGATGCGATGAACCGGTCAGGCGGATTATATCCGTTGTCGCCAAACACGAGCATATAATAGGCAGGGCGGTACTCAAACTTCCAAAGGGCTATAACTTTGTTACTTTAATTTTACCAGAAAAATGGTAAAGGAAAAAAACATTTCCTTTGATCAGATCTACTCACTGTTAAAATAAATGACTCAACTTCGAAGTCACCCTGTATATATAAAAATACAATTACTTGTTAATTGGGAAATTGGCAAAACTTTTAGGCTTAAGTTGACTCTTTTGACGATAAAATCAAGCTTTCGGCATTCTCTATGGAGCCTTCATCAGGATTCTGAAAACACAATTGTGATGCTAGCAAAGAAAACAGGACAGACTTAAAATGTCAGACAACTTACTCGTCGGTGAGGTTGCAGCCACAAGGTGTTTCAGAACGAACGTAGAGAAGATCGAACTTGTAATCAGTATAAAAACAAAAGGACGGGGACATTGGGCTTGTTGAAAAACGACAGATACCTTCGTTAAAAGTTAAAAATATCAATCCACCCGAACAAGTTAATATATATATATATATATAATATATATATATATATATAATATATATATATATAATATATATATATATATATAATATATATATATATAATATATATATATATATATATATATATATATATATATATATATATATATATATATATATATATATATATATATCTCCTTAAGTCCTCTAAAACCATTTGTATTGCCGAGTGTTTCTTCCTAAATCCAGCTAGAAATTTTGTTAAAATATTCTATTTCTCTCGATAAATTATATGATCTGTCCGTAAATAATTTCTTCAAATACTTTTTCAGCATCTGGCAAAACATTTATAGGCCGCATATTGGTGTACAGCTCAGAATTCTTAGTTTTGGGAAACAGGAGTTATTATAGAACACTTAAATTTTGTTGGAAATACACCATATTTTAAACAGTTATTTATTAAGATTAATATTCTTGCTCCAAGAATATCAATCCCATAGCTCTTGGTTACAGTCGTAACCACTGGTTTTAGCAAGCTGTAGTCTAGTCATTCATCTAACGAATTTGTACCGGTTTTTGAAAAAAATATTTCCGTGGAAGGCAATTTCTAAGTGGCGTGACTTCCTGATTCTTGACGAGGTGTTCTGTGTATTGACAGGTCAACGATTCTGTCCGAGTTAAAACTATTGCTTATGAGACGAGAATTTGTCGCCCAGCTGACAAGGTGTCATTCAAGACGTTGTTTGATTCGTTTGTAGCTTATGGTTGTTGAAAATTAATCTGTAAAGGTATAAAATCTAGTGTGCTATATATATTTTCAGTTCTACAGATATGTGGGGCTTGGGATGCCTTATATGGGAAGTATTTAATGGACCCTTGTATCAGCAAAGTTCGTTGAAGAATACAGATAAGGTGCGTATAAGTGAACTAAAAGACCCAACAGAAACCTTATGGGGATTGACTTTTATTTTATTAAACATTTAGTATGGTGTAGACGTCAACACGCAGAACAAAAGTGTTCCTGGGTCCAAAGTTTTTGCACGAGTAGTTTCTGGAATAGGATCTCCTAGATGGAATTTCCTTTCCCTATTCCAGTGAATTATCGTTCAATTTTATCACGTATACAGGGCAGCTCAAATTTAGGTGAATGCATTTTTTTGTTTCACAAACTGTGCAGGATTATTACAGGAATACATTCCAAAAATGATCCGGATCATACCTATAATGGACAAAAGTATATGTACACAAATATGAATATTTACCTAAATACCTTTAGAAAACGAATTCATACTTCATTGCTCCATAAACAAATGCGTTATTAGTAGAAAAACTAAATTCCTTGTTTTTACATTATCTGCAATGAACACAATACAAGTCTGAATATAAGCACTTTTTTATGAGCGACAAAAATATGTAGACAAATTCTTTTCAACATTAGTACAGTTTCGTGGCAGAAGAGGATTAGTTTGTGTTCGTCAAGTATTGTGGAATAAGTTAGTCATTTTAAGACCATGCCGCGTGGTGCAGAAATTTCTTTCGATGTGAAAACTAAGATCATTGAGTTATACAAAGATGGTCAACGTCAAGTCGACATTGCCAAAAATTTGAAGCTGAAGCGTAAAGCAGTTTGGGCGATATTGAACAGATATAAACAAAAAGGTATCTTGGATGCATCTAAGAGAAGTGGTCGGCTTAAAAAACTAAATGCTAGATCAGTTAGATTAATAAAAGTAATTTCGTCCAAAGATCCATTTAAAACCCCAAGACAAATAAAAGCCGAAATCGAGACAACAGGAATTGTCAGTGTTTCTACGAAAACTCTAAATAGAAGATTAAATGATTTGAAGTTATTTGCACGTCGCCCGAGTAAGAAGCCGCTAATCTTGAGGAAAAACCGTAAGGACCGATTACAATTTGCACGGTTGCATCTTGATTGGAGCATCTGTGACTGGAAGAGGGTATATTTCAGTGACGAATCCAAGTTCAATATGTTTGGATCAGATGGTGTTCATTACGTTAGACGTCGTAGTGGGCAAAGATTGAACCCCAAGTACACTTTGCCCACTGTCAAACATGGAGGCGGGTCTGTTTTGGTTTGGGGGTGCTTTTCGGGGTTTGGGATGGGACCTTTACATAGAATAGATGGCATTATGGATAAGTTTGTATACACAGACATACTAAAGCATGTCATGTTACCCTATATGGAAGACAATATGCCTTTAAGATGAATCTTCCAGCAAGATAATGACCCGAAGCACACTTCAAATATCGCAAAGAAATTCTTTCTGGATGAAAAATACCAGTTCTCAAATGGCCTTCACAGTCTCCCGATATAAACCCCTTTGAAAATCTATGGGAATACTTAGATAAGCAAATACGTGATGAAAGTTATTCAAACAAGGATGAACTTTTTGCCGCTTTAGAGCAAAAGTGGAGACAGATTGATGAATCTTATATCAAGAAACTTCTACAATCTATGCCGAGACGGTACCAGGCGGTGATTGATGATAATGGTTATGCTACAAAATATTAACACAAACATGGTTGGTTTTCTATAATTCAATGAACTTTGCTTCTTTTTTCTATAATTGTTTTGCTTTGTCTATATATTTTTGTCCTTCATAGTTCCAGTGTTTTTAATGAATTTTTTATTGAAGGGAGTCTAATGAATTTATTTATGTATAAGTGAGTATTATGCTATAACGAATTATGTATACGAGGTTGGTGTATTAATAAAACAAGTTAAAAAAGAAATACAGCAAAATATTAGTTTGTCTGTATACTTTTGTCCATTACTGTATATTTTATTATTTTTTCCAAAAAAATATCTGTACTCATTTGAGTACAATGGGTGAAACCGTTTATTTTGTATGATGTAACTTGAAGCAGGCACGTTCAATACATAGTGTTGACAAACTCTTGAATGGCATACTGCACATCCTAATTGCTTCTTTGGCTTCGCAGGAAAATGTCCGAATTTATGAAGGTTTTCATTTCTTCTTTGGTGGTGATGAAATTTTGTCGATTATTTTGAGATGCATATATATATATATATATATATATATGATCGACAATATGTTGCAAAACCGTATCATCAAAGAAAAGTTCAAATAGTTGTACTGGATTTAAATCCTTTATCTTTTCCACTAGTTTATCCCTATTGGCATTCATTTCACATAACGGTGGCGGCTCAGACCAAATGGAATATTTAGGATTGCATTTCTCCCAGTCCAACTCATCGCGTTTAGATTCATTTATTTTTATACGTTTTCGCACTTCACTCAAAGGCTCTTCGTCGCAGCTGTAGAACTCGTCATTAGCTAAACTTTGGCGAAACAGCTATAAACGACCAAAAACATCTTGTGGCATACCATTTGCCATCAGTTGGTGTTCGTCCAATTCCTCCTCGTCAGTCAAATAATGTGCGACTGGAGGCAAGACCACAATATCATCGTTATCTTTTAAATCATCTAGAGCATCAGGCAGAAAATTGTAATACCCGTATGTCTTAACAGGATCATCAAAAAAACGGTTTACTCATATCTAAAAACAAAAAAATAGCATTAGTCGAATGATAACGAATTTGAGTACAGTCAAACTTGAACATACATTCTAATTACATCAAATCGGTTAAAATAATTTTTGCCCGGCAAATCAATCAAACAACCTTTACATATACATAATATAAAAAGATTAGTTTATTAGATGGTCACCTCAATGAGAAAAAAATATGTAAAAGCCGAAGTTACCTCAGATCAAATAAGCAATAACTTTTAATACTGTAAACAACGTCACACTCACAGAATTTATGAAAAATGGCTCTTGCGCTCTGTCGCATGTACCATCTACAAACGTTTATAAAAGGTAGTATTTATGTGGTTGACTCGGGGATGGCTCTCACAGGAACAAACACGTTAATGGGTTAATCTTCTTTTTTGACGTTTCAGAGGCCTCTGATCATTTGCGGAAACTTTTGGTAGGCGTTGGAACTTGGGAATGGGGGTTGTAGGAGGCCGTAAACGTAACTTCTTTAGTTTTAGTCAAAGACATTCTATCATAAAGAAGCTGCTGCCGTAAGAGCGGAAAAAATAAATGATAAAGTCATGTGTATAATGTGCTCATAATTCAAAATAACCTGGCAATCGTTGGGGTTGCGTGCATGGCACGATGCTGCATCATCGTGGAGGCCAGTGCTGACTGTGTCTGTGGTCACCGCTGCAGAAGAAATATATATATACACGTTATACGTTTATATATTTGGATATTAGGATGTACAGTTTATTTTTCTGTCGTGCTTTTTTAAATGATAATCGTTTTTATATCTACACATATATTTTTCTGAATTTCATGAGCCTTAAATGTACCACTCATATTGGCTATCCTTTAATTTGTTACCCCGTCTATGATGGTCCTCTGAATATTTCAGCAAGTAGATTGACCCAGTACTTATAACGCATTGATATGCAACAGACACGGACATACAAAACCACATAAATGAGAAACACGGACATGTGTAAATGCGTAAATGGTTGTAAATTGTTACATATTTGGTCTCAGTGCAATACGTTCTATTATTAAGAAGGTGGTTATCTCAGTTATACTATTCACCTGTTATACATAATAAGTCACACATATTTTCTTTACTTCTGCCATGGGAACAGAAATATGATAGTTCTTCTTTATATACATAGTTTGATCTGTAAAGGTTGAAGATACATCTTACCTAAGTGACCCTTCCTAATAACGATTCGATTTCGCCTTTTGAAACGATTTAACGCATCCCTTTTTTTTTAAACCTCCAACGAAGGCGTACGAAGTACAATCTACTTGAAGTTATTTTTTATAGGTTTCCATATTCTAATTACATATTTTGACTGGTGCGCTTTATTGAGATTTTTTTAGATATTGTATATTTTGTCTAAAAGACATGAAAGTATGTCAACCTGTATATCGTGACAGTTTTTAGGCAAAATATTCAGTTGTTATCTTAACAACCACGCGTTGAAAAATAAGTATCTGTGTGTATCCAAGAACGCAATGTCTATCAAAAAAGCAATTTTGCTAGCCAGGTCAGTTTTTTAAAAAAAGAAAAAAGTGCAATGCTCTTCCATGCAAGTTTGAGCCGCTCTGTTTATGTAACAGAATTGCAATGTTGGCGAGCCAGACATAAAGCAAGCTGATAGAAATGTAAATAAATATCAAACAGCTATAACATATACGCGCTACTCAACTTAAAGGCCCTGTATCTCGAAATCCTCTACCCGAGGAAAAATTTGTGCCCATGGATACTTTTGTCTTGCGTGTTGAGTACTACAAACTAAATTTATACAAAAATAGTCAAAAGCTATTTCGCATAAGGTTTGGTATTTTACGTGTATTAAAATAGGTTGGCTTAATCTTGATTATTTTTTATAGATACCAAAACAGTTGGTTGCTCTGTACTGCGAGTTGGTGGGTTCAAATCCCGCTTCCAGACCAAATCCAGCTGACATAATCACCCGATGTCGCAAACTAGGTGGCTACTTCAAAAATGATCTTGTCGACACCCTACTTTTCTTAGAGGAGATTCAAATAAAAGACAAAAATGAGAAGAACAGGTTCTTTTCGAATCTCACCCCTCATTTAGACAATTTTCCCGATAATGTGTGCAAACATAAAATTTTGCCGCAGTTGATCACCGCTTTCGAGTACGGAGACGCTGGATCGGCTGTTTTGGCACCCATGTTCAAGGTATGTACAAATTAATAGTGATGAATCACATTCTTTGATAAAAAGTAAGCCTACTGGAGATGCTTTCCATTTTTATTTGACTTCATCCCAAATCGACTGTCATAAGAAATGCACATTCTGTTGAAATCAAAAGATCGCAATATTTGACATAACTTTAATTCAGATAGTCGGCAACCACAAAAATGACGATTATTAAAGAGTATTTAGGTATTGAAGATAGCCATCTTAAGGGTTTTTCAGACATTTAATCACATATAACTCGAAAACGGTCAACTTTGGTGAAAAGTTACTGTGAATCTTTTTTGGTCAGAATGATCAAGACGAGCTGAAGAAAATGTGGTTTGAGCGAAAAAGCATTTTTGTGTAATTTGTTTCAAAATAAGTGCATAAACAAACTTATACAAAATATTTTCCAACTCGATTTTTTTCATAATCACGTTTTTTAAATGTATCAAGACGTAGTCGGCCGGTAACCCAGACCAGATCAAATTTGTTTAAACATTTTAATAGAAAGGTCCGTAGTAACTTCACTCTAAAGTTGAGTTTTTCTTTCGAGCTACAAGCGAATGTCTCTAAAACCCTAAAAATGGGCATCTTCTATGCTTACAAACTCTATTAAAAATTATAACTTTTGAGATTACCAAGTAACTAAATTAAAGTTAATTTTAAAGTAATTTTTAGCTTATTTGGCAGGCCAAAATTGGCGAACTTTTGATTTTTGCTTTATTGGTGTACTTGTTTTTGTGTCCGCAGGTCCTTCCTGTATATGCTAGTTTTTTTAGCATGAATTTTTCATACTGGCAATTTGAAAAAGTAATAAGTAGTAGATGAATGGCCGAATTCTGCTGATGAGTCGTTATTTTCGGCTGGTCGGAGTTCTGTACAGTGTCCAGATAAGACCTAGCCTCGTGTATTTCTTACATGTTAGGGGTGCTGCCGTCCCGAACAATCTACTTGAGGAGGTTTTTCTTAGTTCTACTAATCTTAGGCAGCTCAAAAATCCGATTAGCAAAGTTTCTCTAAGCTCCTCATAGGGCCGCGGTATCCTGGAATTTAGGTTTTGCCTGCGCAGCTGCATCGGTGTAAAAAAAATCACGAACTTTTAAAGTTATATTTGTCAGATACATGCTGACATTACAAAATCTGGTATTTTCTGAAGAAACCGTTTCTACTAAGTATCAGTACATTGTCCCAAGTTCCGAGTTTTCACACTTTTTACTTCCCACACCTGCTGGCGGGGAAGTATTGTAATAGCGATTTTTTTTTGAAAATGAGGTATTGTGTGTTTTGGATGTACGTACATCACGAAAAACCATGTCACTCTTTTCCGTTAGTCCGTCTGTCCGCCAATGCTTGGATCTACTATAACATGAGAAGTACTGCACTTTTTTATAATTATTTTGGGAACACACACACAAAAGGGCATGCTATATCAGAATATACTTTCAAGGCAAAGTAACTTGTGAAGGCTGTGCTTTTTCCTATATTATAATTGATTGTTCTCATAAAAAGGAAATCTTCCCTAGTTTAGTACGCAATTTCTCTACATGATTAGTAAAATTTAATTTATGATCAAAGGCCGGTCCCAAAAAAAATTTGTTTGTGTTGTGTATTATTTAACTTTATAAAATCGAGGGAGCAAGTCATAAATATCGTCTTATAAACATTGAAAGTTAAGTAATTGTTGCCACGGCATTTTTTGATTGATTGTATATTACTATCATCCTTTTCTTGATTTCAAAGTATTGTGGTATCGTCAGAAAAATGTACGATATTACCATTTGGGATCGAGTATTTAAATATGTTTTAAACTAATTGCGTTCAGTACAACTATATTTGTTTAATTTCTTTGGTCATATATCTTGTTTGAAGTTTTTTATCGTTTAAAATGAAGTATAACTGTTGGAGTAATCAGAAAATAATATCTACAGTTTTTTTTGTTTTGTTTTTAAAAGACAAATTGGTTGTTATTTATAGTTTTGTTAATTTTTGATCTAATTTGAACTATTTTTTTCTATTATTTTTGCTATAACAGTAATTAAACTTGGGGTCTATAATTTTCTGGTAAATTGCTAAATAATAGTTACTTAGCAATTCAGCGTTTTTGAAAAGTTTGGGTAATCACCTGTGTTAAGATGTATATTTATAAGTTTTGTGAGTGTATTAAGAGCATCAAGTGAAAGATTAGCTATAAACATTTAGAGAAATTTTAGCAATGCTTGATGATTTTTTAGTTCAGTTTATAAATGTCCGTAGGATACACATTTCTGATATATATTTTTATATGGTTGTTGTTGTTGAAGATTTATTTAGCATTAGTGCTACAATGTCAATTTTGTATAATGATTCGGCTACATATTTTTCTTCAATCCATTTTCTGTAATTTTATATTCTTGTCTATTTAAATTACGTCACTATGTATTTTGATTATTCATAAAGTAATTTTTTAATTTCACCTTAAACATTTTTAAATTCGAACTCTGTTTAATATCATTATTCAATTTATTAAAATCAAACACTCCCTTTTGAAATATAGATTTACTAGTTATGCTACTATTACAATTTTGCAGATGAAAACCTATACTGCCTCTATATGGTATATCAGGAAGTGTTTTAGATTGGTTTAGAAATTATTTGTCTAAAAGGATGCAGGTTACAAAAGTTAATGACACTATTTCATCAAAAATTTAAAATACGTTGGGTGTTCCACAGCGCAGTATCCTGGGACCACTTAATCGGAAAAAAACAATGTTCAACTGAATATTGATGGTGAAGATATTGAATTCATAGTCAATTTTAAATACCTGGGGGTTTTTGTTGACTCTCGATTAATTTTTGATATTCATTATGAAAAAGTTATAAATAAGATTAGTAGTAAAGTGGGATATTTATCAAGAGTTTCTGGATGTCTGACTTCATATAGCAGAAAAATTATCTATAATACCATCATTCTTCCAAATTTCTTGTACTGTTCGACTATTCTATATATAGCAAATAATTCCATTTTTGAAAGACTGCAAATTTTACAAAATAAGTGCATGAGAGTAATACTGAATAAAGATAAATGTACTCCAATTAGACAAATGCTTAGCAAATTAAAATGGCTCAATGTAAAAAATGTTATCAAATATCTTGTAATGATATTCATTTATAAAGTAAAAAATAATATATTTCCAACAAGTCTAGCTTATTTAACATCATCAAATGTCAACCATTATTTACATAATACCAGAAATAAAGATGACCTCCATTTAATGACCAAAAAATATAACATATGCTACAAATCTGTATTCCATCAAGGGTTGATTGAATATAATAAATTATACACAGAGATAAAAGACCAGAAAACTTTGACAAAATTTAAAGTAAAATTGAGGAATCACTTGTTAAATCTACAATTATAGGTTGCCCAGCATTTACATCATACATCATATGGCTTGAATTTATTAATTCTAAGTTGTTTACAATTATTCTGTTTATGTAGCCAAATGCGCTAAATAAATCTTTCTACTACTACTAGTTTCGTAGTTATGATAATGACTATTTAATTTTGTGAACTTTTCTAAATGTGGTGGTAATAAATGATTTTTTAATTTGAATATGAAAACGAGAACTAAATAATATATGAAATTTTTCACATTCAACCACTGCAGTTTAACATAGACTTTGTGGTTAGATTTGTTTTTATTTAAAATGGTTCTCATAGCTTTATTTTGTAGAATTTGTAATTTTGAAAATATGTTTTTATTTGCTGTAAACAAGATGGTTGAACAATATAAAAAATGGGAAAGAATTATAGTGTTATACACAATTTTTTTGGAATACATACCAAGATTATGGAAAACTCTATAGAAGTAATTTATCTTTTTCTATATTTTGGAAATAATGTATTCATAATGCTCGTGAAACTACTATTCACATATATACCAAGATATTTAAATGACTCGACTACATCAATTTTTTCATCATTAATCATGAGCCTAATTCTGTTGTCACCTAAATGTTTCCCTACTGACATACATTTTGTTTTATTAGTGTTTAATTTAAGTTTATTGACTTTTAACCAATTCATAATTTTTTCAATATCACTATTTAACTCGTTTCAAAGCAGTGTCCAAATGCTTATGTGCTATATATATAAGTGTATCGTACATAAATATTTGAATTTTGCAGTGTTCTAAAATGTCAGAGATATCATTTATATAAATAATAAATAGTAACGGCCCTAATTTACTTCCCTGTGGCACCCCTACTGATATATTTTGAACACTTGACATACTATTTCCAACTTTAGTTTTCTGACTTCTATTTACTAAATAATTTTGTAAAATGTGTAATACTGATCTTTTAAAGCCATAGTGACGCAATTTCATTATTAATTTTTCCCTATCTATAGTCTCAAATGCCCTTTTGAGGTATAAAAATACTGTTACAATATATTCTTTATCATCTACACTTCTTATCCAGTCTTCCTCCACCATTTGGATTGCTGTTTCTGAGGAATATTTTTTTCTAAATCCTGCTTGATTTTTTGTCGAAATTTTGGTTTCTTCAATGAATTCGATAATTTGTTCGTATATTATCCCTTCGAACAGCTTCGCGACATCGGGCAAGACATTAATCGGTCGCATATTTGTATGCAGCTGAGAATTTTGAACTTTTGGCACAATAGTAATGATGGAACACTAATTTTGATCGGAATTCACCATGTACTAAACAATGATTCATCAATAATAATAATTTCTCTCCAATTATATTGAAACAATCTGAAACAATCATTTAGAATATTTTTTGAAAGATTCTCACTTGGATTTCTATTAGATTTCAATTTTGAGATAGCTTTTCTTAGATTGTTGATGTTAATTGCCCTAAATTGCATCATTGATGAATTCTGACATACTTGTAATGGACATAAGTTTGGATCACAGTCATCAATCGTCTTCACTATTTGATTTACACTTTTTATAAAATAACTGTTCATTCTTTCTGCTATAATTAATTTCTTTGTCACTACCCAATCTTCGAAACGCATTTTAGATAATTCAGTCTTTCTATTAGGAGAAATAATATTCTTCAATGTTTTCCACATCATTTTAGAATTATTTTTATTGCTATCGATCTTCTTATCATAGTATTTTTTCTTTTTCCTCCTGAGAACTGCGACATACTCATTTCTTGGTTTTGTATATTGTCTAGATTTGTTAACGGATCATTAGTATTTTGTATAGTATTTTTTAGTTTTTCTGCTATTGTACAGTAATAATTGCTCAATACATTAGGATTTATAGGTGGTAAGTTAGTGGAAGTAGGAGGTTTGCCTCTTAACTGACTTACTACTTTCCATACCTCCTTGGTTTTATTTCCTGAACTTTTATTTTATATTTATAATAATTCTTTCATGTTGAAGCTAAACTATACCTTGCTTCAATTTATGATACGTCATTCCGTAGTTATTGAAAGTTTCATTTTTCTTATAAATTCCTTATTTCGAGATGATATTTTTAATCCTTTTGTGATCCGCGGTTCTTTAGTCTTAATTTTAACTATTCGGTATGGAAAGATTTTAAGATAAATGTTTACTAGTTGTTCATAAAATGATAGGATGGGATTGTGAGAAAGAAAGCAATCATTCTGGTTAATTGTAATACACATATTATAGAATGTTTTATAGTTATGATCACAAAAGAGCCTATTATATTTATATCTATTTTGTTTCTTGGAATTATAGCTGATATATTCTGGATGTTTTAGCTTGGAAGATTACTGGATGAGACGGAGTACCAGAAAAAAATCGTTCCATGTGTTGTTAAGCTGTTCGGCAGTAACGACAGAGCTACGAGGTCTAGGTTACTACAGCAATTGGAATACTTCATAGGCCATTTGCAAGCCGGTACAGTGAATGACCAAATCTTTCCACAAATTGCTCATGGGTTCATGGATACCAATCCAACTATCAGAGAACAGACTGTTAAAGTAAGTATAGTTGATTTTTCCTCAATCCATTTTATAAGCTACAATCCTAATTTTACCGCCCATCATTCGTTCTAGCCGATAGAAAGTAGATGAACTGGGCAGTTGGTCTAATGTTGTTTGGATTGACCCTAGGATCTTTTTTTCACCGGTTGAACAGCCATGAGAAAATATCGGCCCTTGGATACTTCGGTACAGAATTTAACTAATTGTCAGTACAACTCTAAGGCCCGTATCGTCAGTCGTCCCTACAATTGTAGGGCGCGTTTATGGCCTCCTTGATTGTCATACTGCTTTCTCTCCTTCAAAAATTTCTAGATTACACTTGTCCCGTGTCAGCGTCAGCGCTCTCCTATTGTTTTCTTTTTAAATTGCAGGAAATTTCAGGCTGATAAAACATGATATAACTCAAAAGCAAGCACAATTTGATGCAAATAGATGTTTGTGACATAACCTCAAAATAGAATTCTGACACGGAGAAGTAGAAAACTATGACAATCAAGGAGGCCATAAACGCGCCCTACAATTGTAGGGACGACTGAAGATACGGGCCTAAGAAGTATACCTTCTCTGAGAAGGTTGTGCCAGAAAATGTTGTAGTAAAGCTAGCTCAAGGTTGAGCCGTTATTTCATTTTATTACCTTATCGGTTCTGTCAGATCATCGTATTATGGTATAGAACACGTTAATATAATAAGAAATAACATACAGAAAATAAATAAGTAAATAACACACATCAGAGTATGGCAGTCAAAAATTGATCGCTCACTTTTGTTTACAGTCTGTGATACACTTAGCTCCTAAGTTAAACTATAATAATCTGAACGTGGAAGTGCTGAGGCATTTCGCCCGTTTACAATCCAAGGACGATCAGGGTGGTATAAGGACGAATACGACGGTGTGCCTTGGAAAGATAGCTCAACATTTACATCCGCAAATCAGACAAAAAGTATTAATATCTGCATTCGTCAGAGCGATGAGAGACCCATTCCCTCCAGCTAGAAATGCAGGTTAGTATAAAACAAATGGTAAAAAAAGATATTTTAAAGGTTGCCGAACCATTGACGCCTTACCCAGATATAGACTTACCATGTTTACAAAAAGAGTGCTCGCTCTGCTCCCATATGCTGTCTCTTTACATGATTTTTCGATGTTGCCAACAATCATCTAGCCCCAGTGGTTTTTGGTGGTGCCCCCATAAGGTTCACTGGACACACATGGACATCACGAAATTACCATGTCACTAATCTCCGAGAGTATGTCTGTCTGTCTGTCTGCCTGTCTGCCTGTCCGCTAATCCTTGACGCTTCTATAACTTGGAAAGTTCCGGACAGATTTTGATGAAATTTTCACACAGGGTTACTACTATGTCAAGTACGGAAAATCTTTTGAAAAACGGTCCAGTAGCAGCGGAGAAAACGGCGAAAACAAATTAAATATAAAAAGCGGTCAAACTTTGTTGTTTGACGTTTCAAATGATCCGGCACGGGTATTGCGTATCTTGAAAAGTCACACTTCGTCGGTTTTTTTTTACAATTGGTAGGTTTATTGTGACATAACGTAGGTTTTGCTACAAAATGTTAACTTAGCACAAGTTGTTGCAGACTAAAAACTACCTAGGTTTTTTTACATAATATCCCTGCCAATCATTTTCGGAAAAATTTGTGTAATTAAATACTGGGAGTTAGGCGCTGCAGGAGGTGGAAGAGGGTATATCTCAATTTTTTGACGTTTGTATATTCATACGCCTTTAGCCCCAGTAATTCTCTGCACATATTACGCATATTTCACTCATATTAGATGTCCTCGTACATTTACCCTTAAAACTTAGAAATATCTCCAATAGTCGGGTGTCGATATGTGCGACATAGTCCCCCGATGGACAAGTGTCGTCATCGCTGGTCGTACGTCACAGTCGGCAATCGCTTCCGTACTGCTGTGCCCTGTGCATGCTTAAGACCAATATCGTCATTCACGTGGGATTGGTTGTTGCAAAGATCATGTGCGCGGAATTCCTTTCAGGAGGAGGAAGAAGGTCATTTAATTTTTTACTATACACATTAGATGGCAACGTTACACTCGAATGTAGTAGCTGGTTGATGTGTTCATGCGTTTTTTCGCGGCCAATTTGATTTCATTGAACATTCATTATTTGCTTGATTTTTGTGTTTCCGAGATATTGAAGGATTTTTAGTAGCACTTATGGCAAGGCAAATATGTTACTTGTGTAAGGTTGGGGTAAAGCAAGAACAGGGTAGCAGATCTCAAAATAGGTAAGGTTACAGTTAAGTTTATATCTAGGCATTGTCATAGAGCACCTAATTTTCGTATTCAATTTGATATTTCGATTATTTTATGTTATGTCGATATGTAAAACATAGTTTTGGGAGATTCTGAAACAGAAGCAATTATGTTTTTGGATGTAATATGACATGTACATCACGAAAAACCATGTCACTCGTTTCCGTCGATCTGTCCGCTAATTTTAAAACGGCTTATAACTTGAGAAGTACCGCTCGGATTTTGATGAAATTTTCACATAACGTTACTACTATGCCAAGGATGAAAAAGGTTTGTAGTTTTTGAAAAGCGGTCTAGTGGTCGACCTAGGGGCTAGTACCCTCGTTGCTCACCAAATACACGAGTTCAAAGCGTGCACGCAGCGAAGGAAAGCGGCACCGCGCCCCCCTACCTTCCTCCTCTCTGGCTGCCTATAAACATTCATTTTCTTCAAAGCCAAGTTTTTGCAACAATTGGGTAGTACATAGGGAGGGAGGGAGCTATTTACTTCGACGAGACCTTCACATAATTAGGATCGAACATCACTTACAGGTAAGCTCGTTTGATCATGTAATTATGTTCCGGACTCGTCGAAGCAAACACTACTTGCAGATGTTCAAAGCGAGTTGCAACAACATACTACTACTGCTCTGCAATAGTAAACGATAGGTTACACAACAACACAACTACACAAATTGTACGCAATATATATATATATATATATATATATATATATATATATGTCAACTAAATGTACATTTCCATTGTAACAACTCAAGTTAGGGCTTTTAACAACAGGTAATATGATGTACATAGGTTCAAAAATTACCATCTGTTACATGGTAGGAAGCAAATAACGTAATAACATAGTTATGTTTAAGGTACGGAGAGTTGGCATAAAATATTTGTGAGGTGTCTCAGAAAACGAGCTCTAGCCCACCGCATGCCTAATCCTATTCATTTCATGTACTATGGGCTGTCAATTTTGTGACACATCTAAATCACTTTCTGCTGAAACCGACGTTATCCATCTGGGAGTATAGGCACCATGATAACGTGACTTTACAGTGCCAAATAAATACTTTGACTGCACGGATATTTGGGCGTAAAATACGGTAAAACTAAAAGCGGTTGCCACATGAGTGGCCCCGAGACTTAAAAAAAACTGAGAAATCCTAATTTCTCTTTTAACACAACTGCCATAGCTCTCCTGCAACCTGGTCCAAGATGTTATTGTGGGCTTCGATTGCGGTAGGGACCTTCGTCGGAAAGAAATACATGTTTTTCTACCGTGAAATTTATCACCTCACAGTGTGATGAGAGATTAACATTTTACCCAAAATTCTACTGATGATGCAGGAATAAGATGGTTTTTGAAGTGCATGCACAGGCTGAGGCCATCTCAACCAAAATATAGATACTGTGGTTATTCTCAACCATCCAAAGGGGTTGCTGGTGACCTATGTATATATTCGGATAAGGAAATCAGCAATACTGCTAGCCCTAACCTCAGGTCAGAGTGTGCAAACTAATTGAAACAGAAAACATCCGGATCGAGTTGAACAATATTGAAATTGGGATTTGTCAGCTTTTGATAGTATCCGGGTCCCTCATGTGGCAACCACTTTTACTTTACCGTATTTTACGACCAAATATCTGTGCAGTGGAAGTAATTTTATCAGGGTGCCTCTGCTGCCAGATCGATAAAGTCGGTTTCAGCAGAGAGTGATCTAGATGTGTCACAATTGACAGCCCGCAGTACATGAAATGCGTCTATCTCTGGCCGGCTAAATTATAGTAGGCTCAGGCTCGCGGCGGGCTGGAGCGCGTTTTCTGAGACACCTCACAAATCTCTTATGTCCAACAATAGCTTTGCCCAAGCGGCATTTGAGGTAAACCAAGTCTCCACACCTTAAACCTAACTATGTTACTACGTTATTTGTTTGTTGCGAAGGGAAGATATTGATCTGACAATAGTGTAGTTTTCGATGTGCGTGTTTTGGATCTTTTGCAGCACTTTAGTTAAATTAATTTCGTCTCAAGCAAGCAGACTGCATATCTAAGGTCAGTTGTTACCAATAGTGTGGTATTCATTGGTTATCGTCAGCCTTTCTGGCATCTGATACATTTTCAAAACCTGTAAACACCGGAAGAATCCGTGCGTTCAACGTAAAAACGGAGCCGGCGTTGCCGTATTTACCTAGAATTCTGCACTCTCCTGGTAGTCAAATCAAATCACATAATTCCTCAAACTTCGAAAATGAGCTGTACTTGCTGTAAAAAACTTAGGGATGACAACAAGCTTATGAGCAAGAACCATTATTTTTACAGCTGCGTCGAGTTGTCCCAAAATGATGCCAACATTTTAAAAAGCAAATCAAACGTTCATTTCACCTGTAAAAACTGTAGCATGATAGGTGCTACATAATCTGATCTTCGAGCATTGGTCATTTCTTTGCAAGAGGAAATAAACGCTCTCAAGTCTACACGCACTGACACAGCCCAGACATCACCGTCTGTCGACTATGAAGATATAATCCAAGAAATGAACGACAGACAGTCTAGGAAGAAAAACTTAATTATCTTTGGGGTTCAAGAGAGTGATCAGTCCAACGCTCCAAAGAGGGCGCATGATACTGAACAAGTCAAAAAGATTCTACAGGTCTTGGATCGTGATGTTAATGCCGATAGTAGTAAGCCGCTTAGACCAGGATCTATCAATGCCGGTATAACGAGGCCCATGAAAATAACACTTAGGGATGAAGATGATGTTCGTGCTTGTATTAAGTCAGCTAGCAACTTATAGAGGAGCAATGTTTTCTCCAGGATTAGTATCTCATTTGATCGTACACCTCGACAGATCTTGCATTATAAAAAACTGAAACAGGAAATGGAAGAACGCTCTGAGAGACGCAAAGATGGCTTTAAGATCAAGTACGTTCGTGGCGTTCCTAGAATCGTTTCGGAAAACTAGGAAAGCCCAACAAAAATATCCCTATTCACTGTTATTTCCAAAATGTGCGCGGACTGAATACCAAATTCAATGAATTTTATTCCGCAATTTTGTCTTCTGATTATGATTTTGTAGGACTTACCGGAACGTGGTTGTGTAGTAATGTGAGAAATTCGGAACTATTTCCTCCGGAGTATATTATCTACCGTTGTGACCGTGATTTCTTAAGAACAAACACTTCATGCGGAGGAGGGGTTTCGCTAGCATGTAAAGATATGTTTAATGTTGAGTCAATTAATCTTGAGCACATTCGCAATGAAATTTGCTCTAATCGATATTCTAGGATTAAAGTGTACTATAGGATTTAATTCAGTATTTACGAGTACATACAGGGTGACTTCGAAGTTGAGTCATTTATTTTAACAGTGAGTAGATCTGATCAAAAGAAATGTTTTTTCCTTTAACATTTTTCTGGTAAGTAACAAAGTTATAGCCCTTTAGAAGTTTGAGTACCCTGTCTCAATAATAATATTATGTGCTCGTGTTTGGCAACAACGGATATAATCCGCCTTATCCGTTCATCGCATCGGAAACAAAAAAGCGAAAGAATTTGAAACGATGTTTTTACTACAATGTACAATCTTATTCAGTTGTATTCAGTCGATGTGTCAGTCGGTAATGCGTGAGTGAATAGTGGTGTTTGTTGCGTGGCTCAAACGAAATAAAAAATGGCACATGTTTACGAAAATGCTGAATGTAGTACAAAGGGCTCGTGAA